TGGAGGAAGGCTTAACTTGTCCTAGTAAATCAGACACAGGCTTCATTATTTTTAGTATTGTTAACAAAAAGTCACCATAGCAACTGTATCATCTAGCAAATGCTATCTCTTTAAGTCAAAATGAGGAGCTGTCCCACAAATACCCAGGGCTGCGAAAGGAAGAAATGACTTTTCAGTAAAATAATTTCTTCTAAGACTTCGCCATTCATCCTCATTTGTAATCCTAGCATTTCCCCCTCTGTCATTAAGGGATATTACAAGCAACATACAACTTTTTAAAATCCAAGGCTAACGTTTCTTGTATGTGGTTTTGGAAAATCATTAATTGTATTACTTCCTTGAGACACGTAGCTTCATTTGTGGCTTTTTTATTCAGGCACAGGTGGCATAATGCTGGTTAATTTTGACCCTTGGACAGAACATTGTGTATTCTGAGAGGACAATGGGGAAAACTATAGGGGAGCAAGCACATCTTTTCTCAACTCTCAGGAGAGCACTCATTGTAAGGGATGCAGCCAATGGCTTCGTTCTCTGGGTCCTCACTTTAGGGTCTGTGGACCAGAGAGGGTTCTCAGGGCGTGATAATTGGCTCTGTTAGTTTGACTCCATTCTTGGTCAGAACTGAAATTGTTTGGAAGCAGTCACGAAGATTTATTAATATGTTGAATTTTGCTACTATGGTAAACCCTACACCCCCCCAAAGTGTGGTTTATAACTTAACAATTAAATGTAACACTTCAGCCTTCTTACCCCTACTGAAAAACATGTTAATTCAGTGTCTGATCAGATCCCCACAAGCTGACTTTGCTTGGTGCCCAGTCTTCCGGTTTCAGAACCCTGATGAGGTCTCATCACCCCCAACGATTTTGCTTCCTCTATTCTCAGACACATTTTCCCACATTTAATAACTTTGATATCAGGAAATGCCAAATAGCTAGTGGTGTGACATGTTTTTTGTTTATTATTATTATTATTACTAGAGGCCCAGTGCACAAAATTCGTGAATAGGAGCAGGGGAGTTCCTCAGCCTGGCCTGCACCCTCTCGTCTCATCACCCCCAACGATTTTGCTTCCTCTATTCTCAGACACATTTTCCCACATTTAATAACTTTGATATCAGGAAATGCCAAATAGCTAGTGGTGTGACATGTTTTTTGTTTATTATTATTATTATTACTAGAGGCCCAGTGCACAAAATTCGTGAATAGGAGCAGGGGAGTTCCTCAGCCTGGCCTGCACCCTCTCCAATCTGTGGCCCCTCAGGGCTGCTGGCACCTAACTGCTCACCTGCCTGCTGGCCTGATCCCCCTAAGTGCTCTCCCCTGCTGGCCTGGATTCTAAAATGAACATTTTTTCTCTGGCTCTATTTTGGTTCATCAGTTTATGTTGTTCATTATATTCCACAAATGAGTGAGATCATGTGATATCATTATTTTTTTTAAAGAATATTTTAAAAATTGATTTTAGAGAGAGGAAGGGACATGCTATAAACATTAAGATTTCAAGAAAACCGATTTTAAGTATAATAATGTTTCATGCAATAAACATTAATATTTCAAGAAAAAAGATTTTAAATATAATAATATTACCAAAACTGTACTAACATGGTATAGTATAATATCACAAAAGTTGTAGGAAATATTAAAAATCTGCAAATAAAAGGATTACTTCTATTATATTTGAACATTTTTTCTCTGGCTCTATTTTGGTTCATCAGTTTATGTTGTTCATTATATTCCACAAATGAGTGAGATCATGTGATATCATTATTTTTTTTAAAGAATATTTTAAAAATTGATTTTAGAGAGAGGAAGGGAGAGGAAAAGAGTGATTGAAACATCAATGATGAGAGAGAATAATGGATCAGCTGCCTCCTGCATGTCCTCTACTGGGTATCAAGCCCAAAACCCAGGCATGTGCCCTGACTGGGAATTGAACTGGAGACATCCTGGTTCATGGGTCAACACTCAACCACTGAACCACACTGGCCAGACATGACATTTTTTATTGGCAGCTTTTTATTTCTTAGGGTTACATACAATGGTGATGAGATAAGAAAGAGTAAATACATTTATTGCCTATTTATCATGTATCAAGCACTGAGATAAGCAATTTTTGGACATGATTTCATAGAATCCTCCCATGAACCCTATGAAGGTGGCATTTTCAGTTTTGTGGAAGGCTTAGACTCAGAGGGTTATAAGACTTATCCCAAGATCACAAGTTGGCAAATGTTAGAGTTGAGATTTGAACACAGATCAGGATGGCTTTATTGTAATACTAGAGGCCCGGTGCACAAAATTCATGCAGGCGGTGTGTGGGGGTGGTCCCCCAGCTCGGTTTGCACCCTCTCCAATCTGGGACCCCTTGGGGATGTCTGACTGCCGGTTTAGGCCCGATCCCGCTAAACCAGCAGTCGGACATCCCTCTCACAATCTGGAACTGCTGGCTCCCAACCGCTTGCCTGCCTGCCTGATTGCCCCTAACCACTTCTGCTTTGCCAGCCTGATCACCCCCTAACCACTCCCCTGCCGACCCCATTGCGCCCAACTGCCCTCCCCTGCCGGCCTGGTCACCCCTAACTGCCCTCCCTTGCTGGCCTGGTCGCCCCTAACTGCCCTCCCTTGCTGGCCTGGTCGCCCCTAACTGCCCTCCCTTGCTGGCCTGGTCGCCCCTAACTGCCCTCCCTACCGGCCATCTTGTGTCCACATGGGGGCAGCCATCTTTGATCACATGGGGGCGGCCATCTTGTGGGTGGGCGTGATGGTCAATTTGCATATTACCTCTTTATTATATAAGATGAGCCTTTGAATTCTCCATCTGATTGTCCCTCAGCTTGCTATGGTCATAGACTAGTTTACATACCTTTAAATTCTGGTGCTAGGAAGGACCTTATGATCACAGGGTCCAATTCATCATGGTACAGAGGAAACTACTGAGGTCGAGAGAAGTGACTTTCTCACGGCAGTCACAGAGGAAGTCGTGGCATGGCCGAGCCAGTGAGGAGAGTCGCCCAGGGTGGCCCTCCCTGGACCAGCCTCGGCTGCCCACCATCTCTTTGAGGCACTGGCCCTGAGCTCATTCCTCCCCTGTTGTCCTGCTCCTTCCGATCTCAGGATGGTTGCTCACCCATGTCCTTCCTTTCCTCCCCTGACCCCTAGAGAACCTGTATCTTGTGACTCACCCTCCGAAGTGACAGTGAATGCTTATGAAGATGATAATGGAAGAAGATGAGAGAAAATTCTCTGGGGCCTGGGCCTGGAGACATCACCCACCCCTTTGTTTGTTACCTCTAGAGAGTGACTTTAATGGTAGGAATGTCAGTGGAGTGGAAGGGAAAGTGGTGGATGTACAGACTATGGTGGCGATGCTCTATAGGGATCAGAGCCTCAAGCACCTTTGTCTCTCACAGCAGCCTCTCACTCTGCCAGTAGAGAGGCAGGTGGCGGGGCCTAGTGTAAGGATTGGCCTCCATGCATCGTTCCCCTTCTCTATGCCCACGGCAAGGCTGATGGGCCTCTGCCTTCCACTGGGAATGGGTCCAGAGGCCTTTTTAACAGGGTTCCAGACAGAACCTTTCAACCGACCCCAGTTGGTTATAGGGATGGAATCCTATCTGCCATCCCCAGTGTCATCGAAGGCAGATTCCAAAATAGCTGAGCCTCCATGTCTCCCAATGGGTAAAGGAGAAAATAACCATTGATTTACAGAATTGCTGTAAAATGTAGAGAACATATGTAAGAGCACAGCAGATTTCATGGAGCCTGGTACTTAGTAGCTGCTTGTTGACTATAAATTGTCATTATTGTCATGTTAATGCTGAAGGGGGGGGGCGCGGAAGGCATGATGTCACACCTGCATTATAAGGAAGTTAATGATTGTAGAAGAAAGGTACTCCTGGCCTACTTTTGTTATCTTTCTTTACCTTGTGACATTGCAGACACAAGTCCGGATGTTTCAGGTCAAATCTAAAAGGGTTGAACAGTTTTCTTGAGAAACCCAGTTCAGGATGACAGCTCACCACCAATTGGCTGGCTCTAGGCCCAGCAAGTAGGGAAGATCACACCAGGTAAGCAGTCTGTCCCCATCACATCCAAGTTCTGATCATGCTACTCACAGGTGGAGGGTTGAAGAAAGTCCCTTATTCCCAGGCTCGCTCAATTTTCTATAAATCCCTATAATAGTCTGACTCTAGAAATAGGTATATTGATGATACAGTGATGGATTCACTGAGGGTTGTTATAGGTCTCAAAAAAAGTCAAACATTTAGTGAGTAGGATGTTTGTTTAAAGAACACTTTTTATTTTGCAGAAATTGGGAATGCTTTAACTTGTTTTAGTATCATTTATCCATTTAATGTGCATCCTAAGTGTCGCTGGCTATGTCATTATTTCCAGTGATATGTAAACTCTAAAGGGCAAGGATGATGTCTGCTTCATTTATTTTTTAGAGCATCCAGAACAATACCATGAACACGACGTTTTCAATCCATTTGTATGCTGCTGTTGCAGATTTGAATACAAACTGTGTCCCATACTCATAAAGAACACTATTTCATTTTCAGTTTAGACTTTTAAGAACCAGAAATCATAGCATTATATGTAGCACAAATGTATACTTATTGGTTTATTTTAATTTTTAAAGTATCACTATTCATTGATTTTTCTATTACAAATGTCTGCTCAGTGAAGAAAATGTGAAAAATGCTGAAAACTATGTAAAGGACATCCAATGTCATCATTCATTCCTGTGCTGGAAGATAAATCACTTTGAACATTTTGGTATTTTTCCCCCTAAATGATTCATTTTCAAGTGCTATTAATATTATCTAATTCTTCGCTCATTTTAAGACTTTCAAAACGATTCTTCTCTCTGAGATTTCCATCCTTTCAGCTCATGATCCAGTGTTCTTTCCAGGAAGAATTATTGCTTTGTTATTTCTCAATGTATTGAATTGTATTGTGAGTTAAGGGAAAGACTGTGCCATGAGCCACTAGTGACTGACTCCTGTTTCGAAGGAAAATTTAATCCATCTTGCCCCAATGCATTTGTTGTCCTGAGAGCTAGGTGAACTACCTTTGACTGTTTCCCTAGGATTATGTCACCCACCGAGGTAACTTTCTGTTTCAGTAGGTGATGTTAAGAAACAAAACAACACCCTTTAAGTGGATCAGTTTTGGAAAATAGAGACCTGCTTTATCTCCCAGGTCTTTGATGTGTTCAGTGGTTCCTGTAAGGATCTGCCTCTCTTTTGTGTTGATTGACAAGACCTTTCCTATATATTTGAGCAGTCAAGCAGCCCAGTAACAGAGGGTAGAGACATTTACCCAGAGCGAGCTTCTACCACCCATTGTGACTTGCCGAGACCTTGGGCAAGTGTGAGCTCAAGAGAAGAGTTGGCTCCCGCAAGAGCAGGTGAGTGCATCTCATCTCTGTACCCTCCTTCCTCACGAGGGGAAGTCCAAAGAGCCCTGATAAGGTGACAGGTCAGAAGCAGGAGCTGGGAGATCCGGTTTGGAAATAAATAACTCTGCAACCTGTTTTTTGTTTTTTTAAAAAAATATATTTTATTGATTTTTTACAGAGAGGAAGGGAGAGAGATAGAGAGTTAGAAACATCGATGAGAGAGAAACATCGATCAGCTGCCTCCTGCACACCCATACTGGGGATGTGCCCGCAACTCAGGTACATGCCCTTGACCGGAATCGAACCTGGGACCTTTCAGTCCACAGACCGACGCTCTATCCACTGAGCCAAACCGGTTTCGGCAACTTGTTCTAAGTGATAATGAATTGGGGGTGTTCCATAAGTGCAATGTCCACTCTCACTTTAACACCCAGTATGTTCTGTCTAGTGGGCCGAGCGTGAGGGAGGGATTCTGGCTCCTGAAAGAGCCCAGGAAATGACCAAGCTGCAGAGAGGACAGACTTACAGTAGACTGGGATTATGTGTTAGCACCCCCGAGCTTCCCATCATCTGGATTTGGGATCATAACGAGGTGCCATTTCAGCAGAGGCACAGAGCAGAGGCATCGGGCAATGAAGGGGACACGCTGTTATAGAGGGCCACCAAGTCAGGTGCGGGTTTCATAACATCTGTGCATGTCCAGGCTTTGTGGCGGGTTGGGCTAGTAAAAATATAGAAGGGCGTGCAATTATTATTTACCTGCCTCCCCACCTTGATTCCACATCCACCACGACACTGAAAATATAATTTTAAGCAAACATGTAACATGGCAGCAAATACAGAAGAAAAAGAATGTGTGTGTATCCATGTATTATCTTAGGATATGCATAATTTGGGGTGTGATTCATATTTTGTGTTCATTTTGAAGAGACCATTGGAACAGCTTTTTTTTTTTTCTTTTTTTTTAACACCCAAGTCAAGTCCAGCAGTTGGGCCACAATAAGGAGAAGCCTGAGGTTGCCCTTGGAGGGTTGGGTGTCCAGTGAGCACCTGGGCCCATGGAATCCATACTGGAGTCAGTGAGAGGAAACGTAGGGCCCCTGTGGTGGAGTTCGTGGGGCACCTGCAATTTCTCGGCTTATTTCTTCTGAAATGCTAAGAGCCGGGTCCCTTTGGTATCAACCTCGTTGACTGCCCCACGGAGGGCAGCTGGATCACCTAACAGACTCTTTCCTCTCCCTCTCCCGGGAGCAGCATGAAGCTGGCGTACCTGTTCCTCGGCCCCATGGCCCTCCTCCTCCTGGCTGGCTGCTGCTGTGTCCTCAGCACCTCCAGCGGGAACCTGCACACCTTTGTGGGCTGTGCCGTCAGGGAGTTTACTTTCCTGGCCAAGAAGCCGGGCTGCAGGGGCCTTCGGATCACCACCGATGCCTGTTGGGGCCGCTGTGAGACCTGGGAGGTGAGTCCAGGACAGGTCCACTTGGCCTGATTTCTAAGCATCTGCTTTTTCCTGCGGAGTTTAAAAAAAATACCAATAATTTTCCTGGCTGGTGTGGCTCAGTGGTTGAGTGTTGACCCATGAACCTGAAGTCTAGGTTTGATTCCCTGTCAGGGCACATGCCCGGATTGTGGGCTTGATTCCCAGTAGGGGGTGTGTAGGAGTTAGCTGATCAATGATTCTCATCATTGATATTTCTATCTCTCTCTCCCTTTCCCTTCTTCTCTCTGAAATCAATTAAAAAACTCACACAATTATTTGGCGTGCTCCAAAAAAAAAAAAAAAACCTGAAAGAAACCCGATCTTGTCCCTCTAATAATGCATTGGTAAAATTAATAATTTTACTTGCGTGTATCTGTGTATTTGGGAGTCATCTCTGGGAGGTTAAGATGTGCTATTATTCTACCCACTTTACAGATCACATGGAGGAATCTGAGGGATGAGTAACTGCAGAGTCATGTTTATTCCTGTAGTGCAAAGGTGGGAATAAATTCTTGGTCCAAGCATGTAACCAAAACTCTCACAGTGTTCTCCCAGCTGTGATGAATCCAGCAAAGAGACAGCCCTGAGCTGTATAGCGGGTGAGGGTGGGTCCTCAGTCCCTCCTCAGTGCCTCTCCCAAAGCCCTGCCTCCGTCCCACCCACTCAGGGCTATCACTGGCAGAGCCATTAAGTTCCTTTATATTGAATTATATTCAGTCCTTTCAGCAGCATTGCATTTCAAATGGGGATAAAAATCTCAAAGTTAGAACCCTATAGGGCTGTGACGAGGATGTGTTTGCTGGGTGAGAAGAAAGAAGGCCGTTCGGCACCCCATCAAATTACACTGAGTGACTGCTAACTCTTCCCCCTGAGCTCTGAATTGGTGATAATGAAGGACCAGTTCTGATCTTGTCACCAGCTCAGAAGTCATTAAGGACCACCCACTACTGCCAATTCAGTGCCCAACTTTCAAGGTCTGTAGCAATGTGACGCCTGGCTCTTTCCCCAGCGGCTATACATAGCCTGAGGCCTGGCCTTGTCCGATCGATTTTTAAAGGTTTTATTAAACACCCTTCATGAGATCTCACCTTCGGTTCTTTTTGTATCCTTTCTCATCCCCACCTGTCATCATCAGACTTCTTCTTTGAGGCCCATCTCCAGGGCTGACTCCTCCCCAGGGGCCTTCTGACTCCCTGGTCGGCCTATGACTCTACTTTGCCTTGCATCTTACTTCCTTGTCCACAATACAACTCTAGATTTAAAGTTTTTTTCAGGGCCTAGATGAATTCTTGCACCTTTTACAGCTCTTGTCAAAGTCATGTACGAACAAGGCATTCATAAATACTGTTGATTTACATGGGATTGACCTCTCCCTGGAGTTATGGTGTTAATCCTCTCGCTTAATCAACACCAACTTAGAAGCCCTTGAGCGCCACGAGAGGACACTGCCATTAGGAAAGCTGTCCTTCTGTTCAGGGACTCGGACAGCAATCTGTTGTCACTTAGACAAACGAGGGATTGGGTTACGGTGATGAACCTCCGAATTAAATGAAACACCAAATTAGCTTTATTTTTGCATCATTTAGGGGCTTGAGACCTAGTAGCCAAATGAAAATGTAGTTGCTAAGGATACTGTGGCTGTGACTTGACATCACACATTCTCAGGGAACTTCGACACCTTCTCATATTCAGGGTTTGGCCTGGTGGTGACCCCTCTGCTCCAATTCCACTTGGGGGCTCTTCGGAGCTCTTTCTGGGCCCAAGTCCCCAACCACCATTTCCCTCAATTCTGTCTTCTCCTTCTTCATTGATGAATGTCTTTAATTGGATCATGGTCACCCACAGGAGGTCACAGGAGAAATGGAAGCAGCAAGGCCATTAGAGACAGGATTCTCCTTGATGCTAGCTAGCTTTTATTTATGCCTTTATTGTGCTGTGAAAAGGGAGGTTACTTATAGAAAATAAATAAAAGGATGAGCTTTACTTTCCCAGCAATCTGAAAGTTTCTGAGATAAAAAGCACTTATTTTTGGTAACTTAACTGGGAGCACATCTGAAAATAGGATGTTCATGATGAGAAAGTGGCTGCATTTACTTTGAAGGTTGAACGTTGCTGAAAATAGCCTTTGCTCATGGCCTAGGTTTAGGGTTTCCAGATTTAGCGAAAAATAAACCCCAAACAGAACAAAACCACAATGCATTAAACTTGGATGCCAGAGAAACACAACTTTTGGGGGGGGGGGTATAAGTCTGCCCCATACTGGCCTGCTCTTGTTGTGTTGGCTGTTGTCATTCTTTTATTTGACCATCTAAGGCAGTGGTTCTCAACCTGTGGGTCGCGACCCCTTTGGGAAACACATATTCCAGTGGTTCTCAACCTTCCTAATGCCGCGACCCTTTAATACAGTTCCTCATGTTGTGACCCCCAACCATAAAATTATTTTTTCGTTGCTACTTCATAACTCTAATTTTGCTACTGTCATGAATCGTAATATAAATATCTGATATGCAGGGTGTATTTTCATTGTTACAAATTGAACATAATTAAAGCATAGTGATCAATCACTAAAACAATATGTAATTATATATGTGTTTTCCGATGGTCTTAGGCGACCCCTGTGAAAGGGTCGTTCGACCCCCAAAGGGGTCGCGATCCACAGGTTGGCAACCCACAGGTTGAGAACCGCTGATCTAAGGGAAAAGAGGCCAGTGCCCTGACTACATAGTCAGGTATTGCATGTGTAAAACATTCTTGTGGCACCTCGGTTGAAAAGCGCTGTTCTAAATAATGGCTCCCTGTTTTCTACCTGTGGGGACAGAAGCCCATTCTGGAGCCCCCCTACATCGAAGCCCACCATCGAGTCTGTACCTACAACGAGACCAAACAAGTGACCGTCAAGCTGCCCAACTGTGCCCCGGGGGTCGACCCTTTCTACACCTACCCCGTGGCCGTCCGCTGTGACTGCGGGGCCTGCTCCACAGCCACCACCGAGTGCGAGACCATCTGACGCTGGCGTGGCCTGCAGCACGGGTGGCAGCCTTGAGCCCCGCAGACCCACCGGCACGGGCAGCACCAGCAGCACCAGCAGAGATGACCCCTGGATTCGAGGACTGTTTAATTTGGACCACACTGTGGAGGAGGTTGCCTGTCTCCCTTGGGCTCAGCTCAGGCACTAGGCCCTGAGGCAGCACACAGCCAACAGAATGCAAAGCCACGTCTGTGCCTTCACTAGAATAAGTTCTCCGGTTCACACACCTGCAAATTAATTTTCCTCTACCTTGAAGCTCAGGATATAATTTGTATAGCACCATCGTGGGTTTATAACACGCCAGTGGTTTCAATGCAGTGGGCGTAATTAGGAAATGAGGCCAGGAAGTCTTTAAATTCTCATGTCCTCCGTAATGACTGGCCTCCAATAGATTTATGACCAAAGGGCCAGAAATCAATAAAACCACTGCTTTAGTCCCCCTGCCTCCACCCCAAATCCCACTGCAAGCTTCCTTAGAGAAAGTCCTCCCTCTCCTTGGAACTGGGCAATTATTAAAGCAGGTAGGGAAATGGTAGCTCAAAAGGAAAGGAATCTGGATTTGGGTGATTTTTTTTTCCAAGCAAAATTCCTTGGGTCCCCTCAAGATCCTTAATAAAGAGGCTCTTTTTCAATAAAAGTTCTCTGAAACAATAGGGAATGGCAGCTATCATTTACACTTACCAACGTACAAAATTAAACTCATGTTTTTAGACTCATGGGATGCTCTCCCAAAGCTATGCCCCAAATGATGAACCACAAATATTCTTTCCCATTTAGCCTATTTGAAATTGAAATTTCTTTTAAACTCAGAACAAATGTTTGTAAGGGGTAAGACTGCATTGCTGGCTCGGGGAACGTGACTGTGTGGCTGTTGCCCTCTCTAAAGCCTCTGGCAGCCGGTTCTCTGGCTCTTTTAAAACTCCAGTGCTTTGCAAGTGTCTTTAATTCTGACATTTTGGGGGTTGAAATGGACCTTGTTCCTTTTCCACAATATGCCGTAAGAATCTTATTACTGCAAATAAAGCCTGTCTTCTGTCTTTTGAATTGATGAGAACTTTCCAAAATAGTTTTTAATACACCTGGGACAACAATAGCAAACCCTCTTTAAAATGAACCATGAGGTTCCTTGTACCTTCATGTAGGATGTTGTGTTTAGGAAGGAACACACAGAGCCGGCTGGGTAGCGTGAGTCCCTGAAGCTTCTATCCCTGACGCATCACCGCTGGGAGCCAGGAGTCCTCTCTGAGTGGGGAAATCAAGGAGTCCTCAGGAAAACAGCAAAGCAGAAGTTGGGAAGATGGTCAGGGGTTGGGATGCTGAAGTGGACATCCGGGAGCAAAATCCACCTTATTCTTCAGTGCAGGTCTGTTTTGGGCGGCAAGAAAGTCAACCGTAGCATGACAAGTAGCTGAGTGCCTGGGGCCTCTGCGCGGACGGTGGGCGGTGACGGGGGATAATACCGGGTAGGGCCACTCACATGTTCTCAACCCATCCCTGAGCACGTCCCTCTGGACTTTTTGAGAGAAAGGGCTGCTTCTTCAGGAAACTTAGGGTGAAGAGGCAGAGGTTATGGCTGGCCAGAATTTGAGAAATTGTTCAGTAAGGGCCCTGGCAGTAAACAAATGACACACTGCAGTGGGACACTGAGGAGAGTTTGAGCAGAGCTAGGGAAACCAACAAGGGCTGTGAAGCACTTCTAAACACTTGTTTAGAAGCAACCGGCAGCCCTAGGCTAAAGCAGTGGTCGGCAAACTCATTGGTCAACACAGCCACATATCAACAGTACATCGATTGAAATTTCTTTTGAGAGCCAAATGTTTTAAACTTAAACTATATAGGTAGGTACATTGTTATTAACTTAATTAGGGTACTCCTAAGGCTTAGGAAGAGCCACACTCAAGGGGCCAAGGAGCCGCATGGGGCTCTTGAGCTGCAGTTTGCCGACCACGGGTAAAGGAACAAGAAGGGGAAGTGACTATCAGACCCCAAAGAGAACTGTAGGAGAGGGACGCATAGGAAGATGCAGCCATCACCACACTGAGGCCTGGTGGGGAGGGAGGCTGGCACCCGCCCCCCACCCACCTCACTCTGCTCGCATGCCTGGATCTCCTGCTGA